TAAAGGATCCTGAGCCCAAACTGCATCTAAAGCTTCTATCCTACGTCAAAAAAATGATCATTTAAAGATTTAAGTAAAAAAAAAAAATGGTCTAAAACAAATTGAACAGTCTGTTCAACCTCCCCATTTATGCATGCACATCACGGCACAAAGAACACAGGGAAAAAGTTTTACTTGTTTAAGAGATGGATTGTGACAGGATTTAAAGTTCTGGGGATTTTCTAGACAAGCTGATCCTTTATTTAACCTCAGGGTGTGTAACTTCTCCTAAAAAAGTTCATTTCTCTTCAGTCTCCTGGGAACTAAGCAGAAAGAAATGTTTGCAGCTGAAGTCAACATTAATTAGCTCATTTTACCTGCAGTAAATTGTTCAACAGTTCATCAAAGTGAAAAATACAAACAAAAAAAGAGTTAAAACAATAATAATGGCTTTTACAGAAATTTAGGTAAATTCGTTCTGTGCCACCATGTAGCTACGGTATGATTTCAGAAATATAATCAGTTTTGAAAAAGACAAGGAAATCCAAAAACAAAGGTAACATCAATCATTCTCCATAATTAGAAAAGAGTTGGAGAGTTAGAATATAAATGACAGGCTGGGCCACGCATCTCTAGACAAATTATACAGTAACGCATCTCTTAAAACTCCCAGTTCGTCTCTTTATTACTAGCAAAGGAAATATCTGAGTTGTTTTACGACTCAAACACCAGAGATATTTTAAGGATTAAGTTTGATGCTTTAAAAAAAACACTCAAAGAAATAAACAAGCCAATATCTGCAAATTTCATGTGGAGTTTATAATCTTTGTAGCAGTTGTTGTGCCATAAACCACGTTAATAATTTGGACATTGAGAACCAATGTCCTTGTTTTGTCTTAACATGATCACCAGAGAAGAATATGTAGTTTTGCTGATAAAACAGCTGTGAGACCTCTCTTCTCTGCTCTGCAATCCCCTTTTTAGCCAACTTGCTCCACATGGCAACTCCCACAGAGGTAGGTCTTGCCCCCCTCTGTGTTGAGAACAGTAAAAGACCACAGCACATAAGATTTGACTCTCTTTCCGTGAAGCTGCCCGGGGTTTCACATCGGAAGAGACAAAACCATGTCGCCAGGCCCAAAGGCCCAGATCTCTAGAAAAATCAAGGTTAACTCATGATGGTTGACTTTTCATAACGAAATTTCTGCAAAACAGACTTTTTTGCAACACATTTCTCTTGAGTTTCCGAACTTACAGAGTCGGACTAGAGGAGAAAGTCTCGTTGGTGTTGGTGTGAGCCGCATGGGACAAAGGACAACCCCCCCTTTTTGCTGTGAGTCTGCCCTGCTAAGCTGCTGCTGGATTAAACTCAAACCTTTCAAGCGGACATGGACAGAGGTTGGCAGGTCTGGCACAATTAGGGACAGAACAACGATATGTCTTTTAAAGATGTTGATCATTTCATGCGTTTACTGATGAGTAAAGACAAAGCTAACAGGATGGACTGCATTCTACTCTATGCTACAGTAATATGTCTGGAGCTGTTGTTGAAGCTTGGAAAAGCTTTATTTCAATAAGAGTTTAAACACTGATATAACATTAGTGTTCATGTGTTCCTCATATGCTCATTACATTTCCATTACCAAGTATGACCAAGAGTCATTTAATGGAATCCTGATGTCTATTCGCTGCTAGCTATTTCAAAGAGGGTAAAGAATGATTTGACTGAAGGTTATTGGTTCCCGATTAAGCAAATTTAATAAAACATAATGTTTTATTCACCTCATGGATTTGCATTGTGAATTGGTTTGAAAGCGTTCCAATTTCTCTAAGTTAGTGAAAAGCTAATTTGATCTTATCCTAAATTCTTCCAGATAAACTTTGGTTTTCAAACTCAAATCCATCTTAAACTGTAATATGGTTTTCAACCATTTTTCCCCTTCCTCCTTGTACATAATAGTTTAGTTTAGTTTCACTACTTTTAGTTAAGAGCACTAAACTGAAATATGTTTGACTTGGAGCTGAATGATTTATCTTAATAAACTCTTATATTTTGAACAGAACTTGCGATGAATTTATTCCATGTATGTGCAGAATTAACTGTTTGATCATGATCAGTGCTTGAATCACTCTTTCATTTATTGTTCTAACACACAGCTAGTAGGCGTGTGTTCATAAACAATATATGACAGTCCGAATAATATCTGATTATAAAAGATATTTGCCACCCGTACCGGGGAGGGCAATAAACTTCTAAAGGTATCAGAACATAATATGAATGCCCAGCTGGCTGGTAATTGGATATAACATTTATTCACAACACAGTGGATCATGAGTAGGAGGGGCGTTTCCTGGACCAGGGAACATTGGAGGCTGAAAGAGGTTTTTATTGAAGCCCCCTTGAGCATCCAGGCACCTTGTTTAAAGCCAAACACTGCATAATGTACAGCCTGCTATATATAAACCTCTAGACACGTCATTTGATTTAACCCGTAAATATCAGATCATCAGATTTGAAAAAAAAAAAAATCTTTAGAAAGAACTTATTACCCCTCATGGATGAAAAAAAGATGAGTGGTGAAAGCAGTATTCAATTCTTACAAAAAATTACTGGCTCATATTGTTTTCTTGCACCCTGCATGCATTTTTTAAAAATATAGACCACTATAACCTACATATGACGGCTAAACTAGACTTGTTAATTTTTGATTTCCATCCTCTCCATTTTGATTATCCCAGAAAAAGAACAAAGTTAATAAACATTCAGGGATGACTAACATAGTATTTTTTTCTTTTTAGTTATACTGAGGCTGATGCAACACCTACAGAGGTCTTTCTTTATCTTCTACATCTTTCCTTAAAGAAAAACATAGAAAAGAATAGTTATTTTAACTCTTAATTAACAAAAACTTAAGTTTCATGGTTAAATCAGTTTCACCAATTACACCCACTTCAATGCTTTAATCATTTAAAAACTGCCTCATAATGCCATGACAATACTGAACTTAAACTAAAAAACATTATTAATCAATTTTAGGATAATAGATGAAACCAACATCCTAATTTGATGGATAGAAAGACATAAGAAATATCCCAACAAGGTCTAAGTGCCTTACTCATCTGGGTATTTACACATAAACAATAAGATAATAAAATATTAATCTTGGATATAACATAGGGACTTCTTTGGTTGAAATTAAGTAAAGTTTTAAACCAACTCTTATAAGGTGGAAGAAATTAAATGAACTATGAGCAGAGTTTCTCAGAGTTTAATGCGCGTCACACCTATAAAAAAAATGTGTGCGGTTTGAACATAGCGCAGTTCTCTCACTGCGATCACATTGGTAACTGTGCATTGAAGTTGGTCTCAACAGACAAAAGACAGCAGGCCTTCTTGCACTGCGTACTGCCCAATGTTTACATGTAAACAGAACCAGACTATATTTTCATTGAAAATGTGGGAAATAAAGTTTTAAACCAATAGCTGTTTTTTTCCCCTCCTTTCTCCTTTGGGATTAACAGTATTGTTGAATTGACTTTTAAACCTTTGAAGGTATAGTGGAGGATGTTCTTTTTCCGGGTGGATCATCAAAATAAGTGGTTCTCCTAATTGTCAGTCATTCTGTTGATATGTTTACATAAGGTCGTCCTACTGGCTCGTCCTCATTTAGGCTACGTTTACACTGCAGCCTGAAGTGACCCAAATCCGATTTTTTTTGCCCATATGCGACCTGTATCTGATCTTTTCATGGCTGTCTGAACAACACAGATCCGATTTTTTTCCAATCCGACCCAGGCCACTTGGCTATGTGGTCCTGAATCCGTTACGCATCTGATCTTTTCAAATGCGACCTGTGTGTGAACGGCCAGGTCGCATTCATCCGACCTAAACGTCATTAATACGTGACAAAGGTCACCATTCTGCGTGTTGCTACGCAGAAGCGGCAAGAAAAACAGTGACCATGGCAGATGATGATGCGGGGAGCAGTATTTATGTTTAACCATATTTAAAAGAATGAGTTTTTATGGTTGGAAAAGATCGGTAAATGCGCGCCGGCACTACCATTCATGTTTACTTCCGTAAACATAGAGCACGCTGGCCTGTGACGTCATTGCATCCTTTACTGCGCATGCGGGACATTTGCGTTGTATAACTGCAGTTCACACAGGAGATCACATACAAGTCGCATATATATATATTTCATAAAAAAATTGGAATTGAGCATCAAGGCCTGCAGTGTGAACGTAGCCTTACACTTACCAGTGGTGAGTCTGACAAAGTGGAAAAATTGCAAATCTTCTTTTGGAAAGTAAGCTTGTATGAGCAACTTATAAACAGAGCGTGCAAGAGGAAAATGGGGTTATGCATGCTCTCGCACGTGTTTAATAGGCGTTCCCTCACAGGAGCGGGTAGAGATTGTGCATACACAGTTTTTATTTTTTAAAGTGGAGAGGGCGGGTCTTTTCAAACATTCACGAATATCCTCCACCGTACCTTTAAGCTTGGTCTGATTTAAGCTTGATGTTGCAATCATGAATCAGCTGCCTGCTATTCTAACCAGGATTAAATCCATTCCTTGGTGGCACATTCTGCCCACTGCCACCCAACACAGAAGAATTATTATCTTCCTTCTTTCTTTAACATGTCAACTTTCTGCCCCTCCCCCACTTGCTGCTGAACACTTCCCATGAAAAACAGCTAGAGAAATAAATCCAGGTGCTTAGATTAATTAGTAGTTGTTGATTAGAGTAAATGGCCATTAAAAATGCATTAAACTGAGCACTGAATTTCTAAAATAAAAATCTGGCATAATCCACACAAGTTATTCATTCCTTTGAATGAATAACTTGTGAACTTCTGGCTTTATCAGCAGTGGATGCCCTTATTAGGATCTCTGCAGCCTCATCATGCCCTCCTCTGGGCTCTTTTCTTTTAGCTCCAGCCCAGTGGTGAGTTCAGCACATGGCGTCTCACATGTGGCGGCAGCCTAATGTAGGATTAGAACCGCATTGTGGCTTACTGGGGTTGGGGGGGAAAAGGGTGCAGCTCTTGCAGTGGATGATCTCCTTCACGACTGGTACGTCCTGGGAGACGGGTGCAGGCACCATGCCGAGGCCAGGCATCATTGGGTTTATGGGGGTTATCCCAGCCATCATACCAAGGTTAGGATCAAAATCTGAAAGCAACAAAGAAACAGAAATGAGATCAAACAAAAATCTTCTCAAAAAAACCCCAACAAAAAACGTGTTTATTATCATTTCAACCCGTACAGAATATGCTCTCATTTCAAATTGTTTGTTTTTTCCTCTCTGTAAATCTTTAGCCGACATCAGTGACCCAGCGGCAGCCTACACTTAATGGCAAACACAGCCCCCTCATGAATAAATCATCTGTTAAACAACATGCATATTTTAAGACGTTTTCACTGAGTCACTCCTTCTCTGTCACCCCAGCTGTTTGAATGATGAACTCACAGATAATGTAGTTGGGTCTGAAACCTAAATCACAGATAAGATTTATTTGCAATATTGATTTACACAGCAGTGGGTAAAAAACATGAACCCAAACACAGGCGTATAAACGATGGTAGCATCCAAAGCTGCCACACACGCTTTTAAGTGCATCTGTGTGCCTGTAAGGAATGAAGTGAAATGCAAATGACTGAATCCTGGACCATGTGCCTTGGCTTCACCTGCAGAGGATTTGGAGCTGACATTTATTCGACAGGTTGCTTAATGCACACGCACCTGTGTGTGAGCATGCAGCAGCACAAATCCTTCACCAGAAATTATATGCACACTGCAATGCCCTCGATATGAGGAAAAAGAAGAAAAAAAGACTTTCAAGAACACGGTATTTGCTGACTGAGTGAAAGTCGATGGAATCAGTATCATGATACGCATAAATAAAAACTAACATGATGAATCAGACTTATCAGAAAATGAATCTTTAGATGATTTATGTTAGCATGGCTGCAAAATGCAGGTGTGGGCTATTAAACACAGCATGCTGGGTAATAACAGTGGGGAGAATGAGACCCTCAGGGTTTCAATATTAGACTAATTAAAATCAACATGCTAAAATGGTTTCATAGAACAACTTAACTTGGTAAAAAAACAGAAAAATAAAACAGGAATAAAATTGTAGTTCAAGTCAAAATGAATTTCATGATACTTTACTGTTTGTTTAATTGGATTTTATGTGCAAAACCAACCCAAGTGGTGCATAACTGTAGAGGAAGGTAGACAGTAAATGTTTCTTCTGTAATTACATCCCCTTGGTCTGATATGCCTTAATGAAATCCAGCGCAACCAATTGCTTTCAGAAAGTCACCTAACAGACTCCAGCTGTGTGTTATTCTCAGCATAAATGCAGCTGCTCTGTGAAGTCCCAAGAGTTTTGTTAGAGAGCACCAAGAAAAAAACAAAAAAATAAAACAAACAAAGCTGCAAGGAGGCCCACTGGTAACTTTGGACAAGCTGCCAGGATGCACAGCTCAGGTGGAAGAGTCTGTCAACAGGTATGGCATTATTTAAAAAAAAAAACAAAAAAACTGGAATTTTGCATTAGGATTGAGTATAGAAATTCAACACATTAACTAAACTGCTTCTCTTCATCCAGGAAAGGTAGAAGTCTCTTCTTAATTTGGCTTTGGGACAAAAATCTGTCCAATCGGGGTATTAGTGTCACTTAACATTAAAGGTCTTGTCTTAAATCATGAAGGTCTCATCACATAGAGCATCTTGAGTTACTACACTGTTGTTCCCTGAACCGTACAAATTGTACCAAAAAACAGGCTAAAATTGCAAGGCAACCAGACAGCTGTCATGACCCGGATGACTGAGAAAATACACAAGCAAACTGATTTAAAAGGATGGTCCAATAAAAATACAGACAAGGAAACCATTTTACAATTATTGGAATGACATACAAATTGATATTAAGATTGTTCAAAGTTTCAATAAAATCAAATGTTTACATAAAATGTTAATGCCTTTCCTTTGTTCAATAATTAGAACCTTTCAAAGGGTTCCTTCTTACATTTGAACATCTGAGCTAGGATTTGTTTGATTTCGGGGCCTATTTGCACCATTTCCACCTATTTCCGATTTTGTAAAATAACTGCACATATGAATGGTGATTTGGTGAATAAAGATGGTTCTGATTGTAAAAATGTCAAGTCCAAAGATCATTTTCAAATAATTTCTTCAATATCCTAGGTACCAAAGTAGAAGACTTATATCTTACAATAATTTGTGTAAATATTGGGTTTTAATACCTGTAAGTTTCTCAATGCAGCACAGGCTGCAGCTTTAAGTTTAATCATGTATAAAATAAAAATGCCACAATGTTTTTTTTTTTTTTTCCAATCTTCAAAAACATACTATGAAGTTTAAAGCACATTTTGTTTACTTTAAAACATCTGTTAGATTCGGTGCTCTTTTGGGATCATAGGTCTAGTTTAAAACCCTGGAATATTATTATTTTGATGGTAAATAAAAAACAGATAATTGTCCCCTGCTTTCATTTTGAAATGCTTCAAAAACCTGAGCTCAGAGATAAATTTAGTGACTTAATTTGCTTATAAATCAATGTTAAAAAAGCTTAATTTCATTAAGTTGAATTAAGAAAAAAAAAGTAAAATGTAAACATTTTCTAATTCCCTGTGCTCTGCTTTTTCATGCTTATCGTAGCTTGGAAAATTATAAATTGAACTTATAGGTGTGACTTTATAGAAATGTATCCTCTTAAAGGGGCCTGAAATATATTAGTAGGTGTTGATTATTTTACCCTTCAAACATGAAAAAAGTCAAAGAAAATATTTATTTAGCATCAATTTGGCTTATATTGATCCAGAAACTTCTCCTGAAAACCAATTTCCTTTAAGCACACTGCAGCAGAAATAAATTGATGAGTTAAATCACAGAGAGTTCGAAAGAATAAAGAAATATGCACACTAAAGACACAGATTAGAGAGCCTGGGAAGGACAGGATGAAATACATATATTAAGACAGATAAAACTGGCTGAAGGACAAAACTGAGAAGGGGGCAGACATTAGAAGTATGTTATGGGAAAAAATGAGGCCATTAAGATTAACAGAAAATGAATGAAAAAATGTACATCTATACTGATGGCTTCAGCATCAGTCTGTAACCAGGTGTGTGAGAAACTGGGATAAGTATCTTTGTTGCTATGGCAATTGATTGCTTCTTCTTGTTATTGTAAAAAAAGAGAGAAGAAGGATAGAGGGTAAGAAGGAAGATAAGAAATGGTGGATTAAGAAAACTGAAACATCCGCAGCCTGAATGCAAAATGTTTCGCTTAAAGAAGAAAAAACAAGAAAAAGTAAATAATAATGGATTCCAACAGCAAAAGCAGTGATGTGGGAGGTTATCCAAAGAAAACATTGTAAACAGACCTTGGAAGACACGCTTTATTGTGTGACACATTGCTGCTCCAGTGGTATAAAGAGGATATATGCTTATGAGTTTCTACATCGATAGAAAGCAAACTAGATTTCAGAGCACGTGGAGAAAACGATCTGGTTACATCAGGGTGCTATTTCACAGCGGTGCTGCTCATTTCACCACTAAAGAGAGTGCTTGAGTGTTGGTGTGTGTGTGTGTGTGTTCCGCTGTGTATTTATCCCTGGCCATTAAAAGCTTGAGACCTGAAGCAAAAATGTAGCCAAGCTGTGTGTAATAAAGGAGATTATTTACTTCTTCCTCTGGATTTCCAGCCTCACCACCGTTGTCTCATCTCCATTTTCAACAAAATAGCCAGAGGACACATTTCATCACTGACAATCCATTATTTTTCTCTCCTTCAGTCACAACTCATTATAATGCATGCTGTAAGTGGACACAGATGAGCATGTAGTTTTCTGCATAAATAGCTTCTCTTACTGTTGGAATTTGCTGTTGGGATCCAAATTAGAATTTTGAAATGGTTAACATTTCAGGCGGCAGCGTGTGAATGATGACACGCAGCTGTTTTCACTTTTTTCTGTTTACAGCTTTGGTTTATACTGATGCTGCTGTCAGCTGGGTCTGGTGGGTCATATAACGAAAATAAAAGTAAGACAAGAAGGATTTTAAAGTTGCTGATCTCCTAAAAAAGACAAAAAAATAAATAAAACTGTTATTCTGTCTGTAAGATATTCAGCTCTAAGGCCACCTTTAAAAACATTGTTTCCAGCAGGTTACAGACTCACTATTTTATGTCCAAGAAGAGGTCATTTGATCTCACAAAGTTGTCTCCAAAAAGTTTTAATGGCTTGAACTAAAAACAGAGAAAAACCAAATAGGAAGCAAGTGACCATCTCAATAAAGGCAGGTGTTTGGACAGCTTGCTGCTCTGCAGCATACCAGCATCTCCTAAAGGTAAATGAGGTATATTTTCTACATGTCACATTCTGCTTCTCTCTTACAAACAATCTTTGCAGAAAACGTTGACTGCAGTGAAATTCTGCCCAGCGCGCATCACTGTCATCCAATAGAAGGAGCATGCATCCACTTGCAGGTTTGTCTGTTTAACTAACCTTGGCGGTTGGGTCGGGTACTCTTGCATTTGAACAGATACCAAAGCTGTGCCTGGTACCTGAAAATTGGTGTTAATACTTAATTGTAGCCATTATCTCTACCATGCAAACATGTTCTCAAACCCTAGGCTTACCTGGCTGTAGATAATGAGTCGCTAACAGATGCTAACGCTGCAGAATGCAGGAGTAGTAACCTGGTTTCTTCCTGTTAAAAGGGAGTTTTTCCTCTCCACTGTTGCTACAAGCATGCTTAGTGTGGGGGATTGCATTTGAGTCAATGAGACGATGCAATCGACTGGTTTTCCTTAGATAGAAAACTTTGAATCAATTTGACTGTATGATCTGGCTGAACTTTAAAGTGCCTTGAGATGACATGTGTTGTGAATTGGTGCTATATAAATAAACTGAATTGAACCTTGGATCTGAGGCTGTTAAAAAACTGTTAAATCTTGAACTTAACCAGATGCTTCCTCAGGTTCGAGGTATCACCGCCCCTGGTCTTATACTTTGGTTTACAAATATTATAGTGGAAACCTCCTTCCAAACATTTATGGTTAGCCATGCTTGAGCTTTGTTTACTGTAGCTGTGGCTTCTACCATCATAATGCTCTTGTGCGTAGAGTGTTGTGTTAG